TCTTTACGTTTCTGTAGCATGACTCAATATGAATTTGATATTTGGGACATTTAATTCTAATAAGAGGCCCATTTGAGCCAAATTGAGGGTTCTAAAGACTTGTTTTTGACATTTTATCATCTCTAGAATTTATTCCAGATTACAAGAAAGTGTTTATGCTTAATAATACTCTATTATACAATGGTTAATTTTTTTTACAATACCTAAGGAATTGTCAATGTTTCCCTTTATAGCCTTTTAAAAATAAAAAGTTTAAAGAGGTTTTATTTACAAGTACGAAAGAGGGAAATAACTTTTAGATTTTTGGAAAAAAGATGATATGTCAGTCATTTAGAACTGCAATTTCAGGAGAAGTAAAATAAATGGAATGTTACTAAAATCCGCTCACTGTCATGACTGTGTGAATTGATTTAAAAAACATAGAAAGAAAACTTTTTTTCTTGCTATCTGTCATTTTTTCTTTGAAAATATTGGAAATGAAATTAAAGAAATGGATTACTGTCATTTTCTGTATGGACAAAGCAGCCTTGCCCTTTGTCATGTTTGTTATTGTAGCATATGCAGTGCAAATACAATTTGAAGCCATTTTTGATAAATTGATTAGTAAAAAGATCCATTATTTATGATAACAGAGAGCTCTTATAGTAAATTATTTATCAAGAAATAGATATTGAAAATAATTGGAAGTTCTAAATCTGATACTCTGGAAAAAGTTAATTCTTGTATAGAGACCACCATGCTTACAGATTTCGTCAAATGTCCAGATAGCATATAAATATATATCGGTCATTTTGTGTGATGTTTTGTTTTGCAGTTAGGGTCTTATACAAGGCAAATAAATTTTTGCCGTAATTGTTGTTCATGTTTCACAGCCTTGTTCAATGCATTTAAATGTTTGGGTAGGGTAAATTTAGATGTAAGATGTTTCCTGTAAACAAAGAGAAAAACTAACCACATTCAAGTACATGGTAAATTTTGTTTGAAATAGATGGCAATATGCTTTGTTTCAGAGTCCTGAATGTCAGTCTTAATTTAATAGTTGCAAGTATGCTTTGAATTATATAAAAAAAAGAGTGTTGCTAGCTTTTCAGTCAACTGCTGTGTTCATTTTATTGCAGTTTACTTATTCCTCATGGTAGATGAGGCTTCTCTGTCTTAACACTAAATGGTGCAAATGTAAGAAAAACTTATCTTTTATTCCACTGCTCTAAGAAGGGGGCTTTATTTGTTTATTTCTCCATCTGTCCATAAAAAGGTTCTCTCACATTTTTATCTGCAACTTCCAAGTCATATCTTTTGGTATATGACACCAAGCTTCATCTGGTCATGTGATATGGTGTGACACAGTTCATTTGGTTATGCCGGACTTCGTGATACATTTTGACGTGTTCATTTCCTTTGATGTTCTACTTTCTGTTTACCTCAAACGTTTATCTTTAAAATGTCATGCACATATAATATATGAAATTTACATCACATTTTGTTATCATCTAGTTGTACATTGCTTCTAATATACTCTTCTGGCTCCAGAATGTTTTTTACATATTTCATCAGATGTTTTATTCTGTTGTGTGTTTGACCCCAGCATTTTAAATACTAACAAAACAGTACCATTTAAAAGGTTTAATGTTTCATTTACTATAGAAAAGTTCCAGGTGTCAGGACTATAACAGTTTGTCTTAAGTTGCTGAAGTAGTTTCTGTTATTTATATTTTCTGGTTTTGTCTAGTTATTTAGGCTTTTATGTAACCTTGAATATCTCACTATGAAGGTTAGAAAGATTAACACTTAAGAGATATTATCTGAGGTAAATTAGGTCAACATCTTTATTGGGCCTCTTTTTTTTCTCTCACAGGTCTTTTGGTAATGGGGTCTGCCTATGTGATGGCTATTGGTGGAGTCATTGCCTCCAGGAAGTTTTATCGTCGTCTGCTGTTTGTGTTGCTTCGGTTACCAATGTCATTCTTTGATCAGACACCAATGGGGCGTATCATGAACAGATACACAGCAGACATTTTAGAACTTGACCTTGTGGTGCCATTTACAATGCGATCCATGTTGAATGTGATTCTACAAACCTTTTCAAATCTAGGTGTGGTCATTTACACTACACCTTTATTTGCAACAGTGCTGCCATTTTTTGGAGTTGTTTACTTTATCATCCAGGTACTCTTGTTGTAAGAGTTATCTCCCTGTCATGAACTCTTCAGCGGCATTTGATGTACTCACATGTAACAAAATTGAAAATGTATTCTCTTTTTGAAAATCAGCATAACGATTTCTTTGGATCAGTTGTTTTCATCGTTTAAAGAGATTGGTATTTATGACTGCAATTAATTTGCTTTAATTCTATTTAGTAATATGAAGTTGAGCTTGATAAAATACCGTAAACCAACTAATTTTCCCAAGCAGTTTATTTACAACTTTTGGGAGTAGAAAAATAACGGAAATTTAAATTGATGTGAATATGTGACTTTGGATCATCCCTTATATAAATAAGTCAAGAAAATGAGAAGATTGCCAAAAAATTCGCTGCAAAGTTGGTTAAAAAGACATTTAGGCAAAATAGAGTATGCACGAAAATAAGTTGGCATACAGTATCTGTTGATCACTTACAGAAAAAAGTATGAAAAAAATAAAATGACAGGCTTTGATTTTTAAATATATAACGAACTTTCAAAGGTATCGTTAAGGATGTTGTTACTCATATTTTCAACAATTTCTTAATATTTTAACCTCTCTGGATTTTAGAACTGTTTGAGTAAATCAGATGTTGCTGTGGAGATGTACTTCTTTATATTGCGCTTGTGTACAGCTTCTTAACCAATATCATCATTTAGTTCAATATAGATATTTCTGGAATGCTTTACTGACTTATACTTTTCCTGATCTGTTGTATATTTTAATTGGTAAACATTTTGTTTGTTTAAGTTATCTGCCAAATCATCTGTTTTTAATCAACAACCAACATACCTATTGGCATTCACTGGACATTAAGAAAACACCTTTCAAACATCAGCAGACAAAATGAACATTATCCTATGTGTGTTCCTTTCAAATATTATATAAATCTCTTCAGGAAAAAATACATAATTGCCTATCATCAAATGGGGTATGTAAAATTTCATAACTTGGCAAATTGTTTCATATTTTGTCATGCCGAATTAAAATGAATTATACATTATGGAATGAGTTTTGTTTATTGTTGTAGGCAATAAATGACCTATATAGTTGCTTACATCCCCACCTTTTGTCTCTAGTGGATAGTTGTCTCATTGGCAATCATACTGATCTCGGTTTTTTTAAAAGTATCACATTTAAAAATTTATTAAGTCTATCTTCCTCAATTTGAGAAGACCTTGGTAGGTGCATACAACTCCACTCTTAATTGTCTAGGATTGCCAGTTTTTCTGTCGAAGATCAGTTGTTGTTCTCTCTGGGTACTACGGCTTCCACCCCCCAGTAAAAGCTGATCTCCATGATATAGGGTACTACGGCTTCCACCCCCCAGTAAAAGCTGATCTCCATGATATAGTCAATAGTGCTGAGAGTGGCATTAACACAAACAGTCATTCAATGGTTTTCTCGTTTGAATGGTTTTACACTAGTAATTTTGGGGGCCCTTTATAGCTTACTGTTCGGTGTGAGCCAAGGCTCCGTATTGAAGACCGTACTGTGACCTATAATGGTTTTCTTTTATAAATTTTGACTTGGATGGAGAGTTGTCTCATTGGCACTCATACCACATCTTCTTATATCTATTCAAATTTGAGTAGACTTGGGATAGTTTCCAACTTGACATACCTATTGTTTAAGACCTTATTTTGGTCTGTAGAAATAAAGCAATGTTTGATACTGATTTCTGTGCTGAATGACAGTTGTTTGTATGTCTATTTTGTTTTTGTATTGCGTAACTGCCTCATGGTCATACTACTCACATCTCCTCTTAATCATTTTAACTGATTGAATAGTATATATTAACTTCTAGCGTGGTGCTTTGTAGCTTAGCATTATTGTGACCAAAGCTTTGAAATATTCAGCATGCTTGTTTTCAATGTGTTTTTCCAGAATATTCCTTTCAGCATGTAAAGTATTGGATAGTGCAGATGGTCTTTTGGACATTGGCAAACTTAGTCCAGTAAAACTTTGTTCTGTCAAGTAAAATATGGCTTTTTGCTGAACCATCAGTTCAGTAAACATGATTACAACTTTATACTATTATGATAATTTCTGATGAGTTCAGGATAGCTAGCCTGTGTATTTCTTGGATAAAATGTCATGTGAAAATGTGAAACCTTTGAACTCATTGCACATACTTGATGACAAATTGTCAGTTCATCAGATGCTTTGTTTGTCTGTCTCTGTCTTACTTTTTTTTCTGTCTCAAATCTGTCTTTCTTTGTTGTTGGTTGTTTCGAATCATAAAGTTGTAAGGTCTTATTTTTAACATATGAGTAAAATTCCATGAGGTTTAAAGAAATTACTGTCTTTCCCAGTTTCAGAGGCCACAATCAAAGTTATCGGTGGAGATCCATCTGAAAACCCTCATTCACCATATATTCTTTACAGTAGATGTTTGAGTCTTGTTGCAGTCATCTGGTGATTTGTTCTTAAAGAAATGTAGGATTTGAGTGTTGTTTGAGAGTTAAGTCATTGTTGGTAGTTAAAGTCTAGTTGCTTTATTGAATCCATAGTATTTTGAATAGTCCAATTTATTTTCCAGTTTCCAGATTTAAGATGCCAATCATTAAGACCATCAACATTAGTTGTAACGACTGTTAATCATGAAGTAAAGCCACCTCAGTCAAGCTTTTCACAAAAGCTATATCAATTCCATACAAATGAATGAAATGATAAAAAAAAAATTGATATTGAAATGAACACTTTCTACAAAAATTGGTAGACATGAATGAATTCTTCTGTAATGGAACAAAGATTAACTATCATAGATTAATGCTTTTTTTCTGTTGAACATCATAACATTTTATTTTTCCATGCAGGCTTCTTCACATTGTTAGCTGGAATATGTTTAGCAGTCGGTTCCAACATGGCTACCGCCAAGCTTCACAGAAGTCTCCTGCTTGGCATTCTAAGGTCGCCCATGTGTTTTTTCGATACAACACCACTTGGACGAATTATAAATAGATTTTCAAAAGACGTGGATGCCATTGATATCCAAGTCCCAGAAATGTTTAAAAATTGGTTCTTGTGTTTGGTCAATGTGTTAGGTGCCATGATTGTGATTTCCATAGGAACACCAATGTTTATTATAGCTCTGGTTCCAATGGGTATTTTGTATTTTTTTGTAATGGTAATTCTCTTTTTTTCAAATTTGATATAGCCTAGCTTAGATGTTTATATCTCTAAAGGGTTGTTGTACACACTTAAAAAACTAATTATTTGCACCCAGTCATTTTGATTATTTTGAGTAAAGAAATTTTAAATTTGGATATAAAACAGCTAAAAAACAGAAAAAATCAAAACAGTATCAATAATTTATGAAATAAAAGTCCCCCTTTTAAATGATAAAATCATACCAGCACAAGTCACTAATGTGCTAATCAATTTTCCATCAACTGATCAGGTCTTCTAAGATTATCACTGAAGCTATTTAAGAAATTGTTTGCTGTTGAAATCTGAATTATGGAAGTGGAAAAGGTGACTCGTGTCCCACCCTGGCAATTTGGATTTCAATAGCAATTAATATTGGCAATACCTTTTGTAATAAACTGAACAGAAATGACCGCTTGCAAGAAAATTGGTTAACTAATGAGTGTTTTTTGCTAATAATAAATATATTTAATGAGAATGTTTTTGAAATGCGATGATATGCCTAATTGCTTTCTTTGGAAAAGAAATTAAATCTTTTCAGTATATGCTTCATCGGCTAAAATCTGCTTTTTGGGACTTACTTTGTCAAAGTGTCTGCTGAAAAATAAATGAATAGCTAATTGCATGATTGATTAGAACACTTATTAGAATGCATGGTAGTTCTCTTGTAGCTTTGTAAAGGATAAAATTTTATTAAAAAAAATCTGAAAGTTGAGAAATTAGTTAATTATTCTGGGCCAATTGTTAGAGAAGCAATATATACATAATTATATTTGTAAATAGAAAAATCAGAATGAAAGAAAAATCACTACTATAATTGTCTGGTCAAGTCATATTTTAACTGCTTGGCAACTATGATAAACACAAGCTTTTGAAATTGTCTGTAAATCTTGCCTGTAATACATTATAATGATATTTTCAATTGAAATTGAAAGAATCGTACCTGAGTAATATTTTGCACAATATTTCTGATCTGATTGATTTCTGGTGTGTCCCATTGCAAAAGATGGCCCCATATATTGTATATGCCAAGTTTTCTCTGTAGTTTATTACTTTGGAATGGAATAACAATTGTCAGAATATATATATATTACAGATAAGATAGTTTTTCTTTCCAGAGTTACTGTTTCTTTGTATCTTACAATATAATTTAATTTTGGACGTAACACGTCTTCCGATTGTCTGACGTTGTTTTGTTTATCAGCTCATAGACTTAATTTTGTCATGTGACCGCGACGTCATCAACGTTTTTTCATGATTTACTCCAGTTTAAAATGGAATTAAGAATTAAATTATAAGAAATGACTGTAATATTTTTTCTGTCTATTCGAAATAACATAAAAAATGTGGTGCACACTTTAAAATAACCCGCTACGCGGGTTATTTAGTGTGCACCACATTTTTGATGTTATTTCTTCATAGACAGAAAAAATATTACAGTCATTCCTTAAATAAAGGAGTGAAAAGGGATGTTATATGTATATGCTTTTGAGTATAAACAAAACTTTATTTTACCTCAGTTGTGATTTTGGTTTTTCCGTTGCTTTATGCAACATTTGACCCCTTTTTATGCTTTTTCCCTTACCTATTGACTTGATTGTATGTGATTTACAGAAGCTCTTTATTTGTCGGGAAAGTCCGTTTGAATTAAACTAAAGTTCAGATGCCAGTTTGGTAATGCGCACAGCAGATTTTTTTTTAAAGCACCATTATTTGATTACATGAACAAAAGTGCTTATTTCTAATGACCAAAATGAATCCTTCATTATGTAATTTTCAAACAATTTACTTTGTTTCCAGTTACCGAATATTATATAAGAAACACCCCCTAAGTAGATCAGACTTCTTTGTTAATGCAAACCTTATGAAAGGAGTGTCATGTTTTCATGTTTGTAAACTGTTCACAATTTTCCTTTGAGTATCTCATATTTTGCAATCCTTTTTTTTTACTAAAAATGTGAAATGCACTTTAGAAAAGCAAAAATTATAGGATCTTACCACATTCACATGCCAGTTGTTTTGTATAGGCAGGGCACCATGGTTTAGTTAACCTTGGAGTTGTTTCCCCTTTACAAAACATTCTGAAATTTGAAAGAATGTTGGTAATTTGAAATTTGACTATTAATTCAAGTTACCTGGACCAGATCTTCTGCAAAGAAATGCTTATATAAATTACAGATTCTGATGGAGTTAAAAAATATTTGAAAATAAAATGAAAATAACTTGTTATACGTTTCAATTGTCCGAAGCATGTTGCTTGATTATCCTTCATCAAAGTTGTATCATGTTGAATAAAAAAGTGTTCCTTAAATGAAATGTTATTCTTGCTTTTTGTTTCTCTCAGAATAAGCATTTGCATCTAATTGCTTGCGGCAGAGAATTTGAACTTCTGCGTGAAAAAAAAATCTTGTCTTTCTTTGCAAGATTGTTTCAGTTTTGTGTGATTGTTATTTGTCCAATATATTTTGAAAAAAAATAATTTTAGTTTGTTTTCTTACCCAAGACAGTTTAATACTATGATAAAATGCTTCTTACTACTGGCCGTTGTAATATTTTGCATATATCTGTGCATGTGCATGTGCATGTTACTATTCTGATTTACAGTGTGCAAAGTATTTAAGATTGTCATAGATCCAAAAATTATATTGGCAGGTTCAATCCTGGAATATTTTATCTTTTTATCTAAGTGACATTTGGGGTTTCCCATAGCAAAACATGGACTTTGCCATATCTTTACAATGGTAAGACAGTAAAAACCATGATCTTCTTTCAATGAATCTTGAATGTAATATTGTTGCATAATGCATTTCCTGTTATACTTTTAGATCATTATAAGTGAGGTTTTACACAACATAAAATTGACCAGTCTTCATGCTTGTAAAATATATTTCAGACCTGTAAGAATTTCTACTACAGGCCAATATAATCTATACAAAATTTACCCAAGAAATGAGCCTCGGGCATGTGGCTGCAAATTTTTATCATGATGGACATTTGATATAAGTTTAAATGTCATCTTTTTTTTTTTTTTATCGTTTCTTAGTTTTCTAGTGAAAATTTGTCCTTTTCCTTCCCTCTCACATTTTTTTTGGTTTTTTATATGTTAGCTTATCTAAATATTCTGCTCACTGTATATCTTTACATTTATGCTTGTGTTTGATTTGCTAGCTTTGCATGCTTCTTTTTACTAATCCAGATATATCCTGCATCAATATATATATACCATTAAATTATCATCATTTTAATGAGTTGAATTGACACTTAAGATATTTGAAAATATTGAGCTTTTTTTAGTAATTTCAAATTTTTATTTTCATCATGAATCAAATATCTTTATGAAATAATTTAAGCTTATTCTCTTAAAATTTTCATGATTCAAAATACTATATTAATTCAATATTTTTTTTAATCAAGAAATTATAATAAGTGAAGATGTTTAGGCTTAAGTGTACATAATTTTATCTAAATTTTAGCAAAAGTGAAATTCTTTTTACAAAATTAAATGTTTATAATTTACAGAGGTTTTATGTTGCCACATCCAGGCAGTTGAAAAGATTAGAGTCTGTGAGCCGATCCCCAATCTACTCACACTTTGGTGAGACAATAACAGGAGTGACAACAATCAGAGCATATCAGCAACAACTTAGATTCATTGCCGAGTCAGAAGAAAGGGTGGATGAGAATAATATATGCTATTTTCCCAGTGTTATAGCCAATAGGTTAGTATGAGATAACCATCTTTGTTTTTGTGTCTTGCCTTGACAAAGTAGCTGAGGCGAGACTTAGGCATGCTGACGCGACAAAGGCATCAACAATTGTTAAATTTTTTTATTAGGTCAGTTTAAAGGGAACCATTCATGGTAGGTCAGTGATATTTGGTAGGCAGTTGTATGAACATTGGAACATTTCATTTTCGTGGAGATTATCTTGGTTGACCTCTCAGTCTCGGTTCATTGACTTTGAAAATTTTGCATAGTTTACATGTTAAAGTGTTGCTGTTATTTGCAGGATGCTATTGAAAATTACACTGGACAGAAAAATCCTTTTGTATCAAGAGTTTATTATCAGAGATGATTATATTCATGGAACTGTTTCTTTTACATGTTGATGTTAAAAGTCGGGCTCAGTGTAACTTAGACTCAAAATCCTAGTGTTAGTGATGGTCAGTTATTTTATCTTGTAAATCATGTGTTGTTGGGAATATATCAATTGGACAGCAACCCAACAAGCCAAATTAAAAAAGACAAAAGACATTCTTCAGAAAAAAGGAGTGTCTATACCATATTTCTAACACTAAATCACTCTAGTCTTGACCTTTTGTTCATATTTTGACCAACCAATTTGATCAGTAAAGGAAATATTGTGCTTTTTATTAAATTTCAACACAACAAAAGTAGACTGATAACAATTTTGTAAATTGCCAATATTTTCCAGACAGTGAAAGTTTGATGTAACCAACATACTGTGATAAATGAATCAAAAGTAAAGATATAATATCTTATGAAGATTTGTCCAATGCACTATTCATGTAACTAGCATGGCAATATTTTATGATGAAAGGGGCTTGTGTTTTTATGTTTCAGATGGTTAGCCATACCACCAGAGTTTGTTGGAAATTGTATTTTTGCCTGTTTGTTTTTCAGATAGTTAGCCATCCGACTGGAGTTCGTTTGAAATTGTATTGTATTTTCTGCCTGTTTTGTTTTTCAGATGGTTAGCCATACGACTAGAGTTTGTTGGAAATTGTATTGTATTTTTTGCCTGTCTATTTGCTGTGATTGGAAGAGATACCTTGACGGCAGGAATTGTTGGATTGTCTATAAGTTATGCTTTGAATGTAAGAACTTTTAAAATTCATCTGACAAAATACCACGTTAAGCAACAATAGGTCACAATAGGACCTTCAGCAATGAGCAATACCATATAGTCTGCTAAACAAATATGACAGAATTGAACCAACAACAACCACTGAACTACAGGCTCCTGACTTGGGACAGGCACACATAGAGTGTAGTGGGGTTAAACATGTTTGTGATCGCTCAACCCTTCCTTCAACCTGGGTCAGTGGTGTAGCAGCATATAATATCATGAGAACAAATTATAATCAAAGCACGAAAGCGCTGTAAAGGCAGTTAATTACAGGTTGTGTGTATTTTAAGTCCAGTTATATCATTATCTTGCATAGTACAGTGTACTTATCAGAGGTGGCTTTCAGTATTTAAGATTTAGAGTTCTCTAATGATATTGAATAAGTTTTATGAATGTCATATTCTGAGCACTATATGAAGGCGATTGTTCTCACTTGTTTATGAACTAGTGCATTATGTCCAGTTTGTACCTTTTTTATCTATGTTTATAGTCAAATTAGTTATCAAAGGTACCAGGATTATAATTTAATATGCCATACGTGTGTTTCGTCTACATAAGACTCATCAGTGACGTTCAGATCAAAATAGTAACAGAGCCAAACAAGTACAAAGTTGAAGAGCATTGAGGACCCAAAATTCCAAAAAGTTGTGCCAAATACGGCTAAGGTAATCTATTCCTTGGATAAGAAAATCCTTAGTTTTTTCATTGGCAATCATAACACATCTCCTTATTTATATAATGATCTATATTCAACGACCTCAGGTACAAAAAAATGTATGTAACTAAACTATGATGGGAAACCTTTGACTTCTTTCTTTATATAAACTTTTGATTTGGTACCATAGAACTATGTAGAGTAAATGTACATTGCAACATGTCAACTCTTTCAACTCCAAGCAAAATTATATTTCCAAGCATAAAGTAATTTATGAATGAAATAAAATGCTCCGCTGGGGCGCAGCTTGATACAACCGCAGAGGTCGAACCCTGAACAGTTGGGGCAAGTATGAACACAACATTCAAGCTTGATTCAGCACTGAATTTGGATTGTAATTAAATATTTGACACAGCATAGGTTTCTGACACAGAATGAAAGTGGTCTAAGATACTTAAAAAAATTTAATTTACCTATTCAAACCATATCATTATTTTTTGCTTTTATATATAAATCAGAAATAACCAATTTAAAATGGAAAATTTTAAAGAAAAAAAAGGAAAAAGAATCCCCCCCCCAATTTTTTGAACCCCCTTATGATTCATCACCCCAAAACTCAATCCCAGCCTTCCCTTTGTGGTATGGTACCTTTCAGTACAATTTCATAAAGATCCATACACTTGAACACATGTTATTGTCTGGAAACTAGAAAAATGCTTGTTTTTTGGCCCCTTTTTGGTCCCAAATTCCTAAACGTTTAGGGCAATTACCCCCAAACTCAAACCCAGCTTTCCCTTTGTGATATGGAACCTTGTAGTACAATTTCATAAAGATCCATACACTTACACACAAGTTATTGCCATGAAACTAGAAAAATGCTTGTTTTTTGCCCCTTTTTGGCCCCTAATTCCTAAAATTTGGAGGCAATTACCCCCAAATTCAATCCCAGCATTCCCTTTGTGATATGGAACCTTGTGATACAATGTCAGAGAGATCCATAGACTTGCACACAAGTTATTGTCATGAAACTAGAAAAATGCTTGTTTTTTGCCCCTTTTTGGCCCCTAATTCCTAAAATTTGGAGGCAATTACCCCCAAAAATCAATCCCAGCATTCCCTTTGTGATATGGAACCTTGTGGTACAATGTCAGAGAGATCCATACACTTACACACAAGTTATGTCTGGAAGTTACAAAAATGCTTATTTTTGGCCCCTAATTCCTTAACTGTTGGTACCATAACCCCAAAATCAATCCCCACTTTCCCTTTGTGGTATTGAACCTTATTTTAAAATTTCATTGAGATCCATTCACTTAAACTAAAGTTAGAGTGCGAAAACTAATGTGTCTTCGGACGACGACGACGCCAACGTCATACCAATATATATACGACCACAAAAATTTTTTTGCGGTCGTATAAAAAGGAGTTCTTAATTAAGAAATAAACTGATTCGCTGAGTGCAGCTGGATACACCCGCAGAGGTACTACCCTGAACAGCTGGGGCAAAAATGGACACAATATTCAAGCTTGATATAGGTCTGAATTTGGATTGTAATTAAATATTTGACATATTATAGTTTCTGAATAAATGTAGTCAATGAACTTGAAATCGGTTATATGAATTGAATTTATATTCAATTAAAGATTTCTTGCTGTTGTGCAATACACTGTGCTGTTGTGCAATACTTAATAAATCTGTTGCCAGACTATAAACAAATAAAGTTCAATTTCTTCTCAATGTCATATTTGAAATTTATGAAAATCAATAGGGAGATTACATCAATAGCTATAAATAATTCACCAAAGTTTCATGTGAACTGCTTAAAGCATTTTTGAGTTGTTGTCCAAAAACTGGAAAATCCCCCCTTTTTTAATGAATAAAACCCCATAACTCAGAAATGTAAAATCTAAAATTTATAAAATTCTAAAGGGAGCTTACGGATTGATAATTTAGTCTTAGATGCAAGATTTTTTTATCAGTTGTTAGTGGCTTTGAACTAGCTGTCAGTAACTGCGAGTACTCTCAGATTTGTACTTAGTGTCTTTTTGTTGTTTGGATGTACAACTACCTGACCACGTCCACTTGTATTTGTATTTATCCATCTGATGAGTTTAGCCTCTTTCAACTGATTTTTATAGTTCTTTCTTATATTGTACTGTTACACCACTGTCCCAGGTTAGGGGAGGGTTGGGATCCTGCTAACATGTTTAAGCCCGCCACATTCTGTATGTTCATGTATGTGCCTGTCCCAAGTCAGCAGCCTATAAAAGTGTAATTCAGTGGTTGTCGTTTGTTTATATGTTGCATATTTGTTATATTTGTTCATTTTTTTACATAAAATAGGCCGTTAGTTTTCTTGTTTGAATTGTTTTACATTGTCATTTCTGGGCCTTTTATAGCTGACTGTGCGGTATGGGCTTTGCTCATTGTTGAAGGTCGTACTGTGACCTATAGCTGTTAATTTCTGTGTCATTTGGTCTCTTGTGCATGTGTGGAGAGTTGTCTCATTGGCAATCATACCACATCTTCTTTTTTATATTTACATCAACAGATAAAAAAAATTCACCAAAGTCAAGGTGAGACAACAAAACTTAGTTGTAAGATCTCTGAAATTTTTTACACGGTACGAGTTTTTCTCATTGTTGGAGATTGTACGGTGACAGTAACACCTGTAACTGCTTAAACCCATTTCTTATGCACTTTAGTTTGATAAACTCACTGAATATCATACCACATCTCCTTATTTTTATATGCATTACAATTTACATGTGCATGTAATTGTAAATATATATATATCAGAACAAAATTCATTGCGTCACTTTTATTTATGCATCCTTTGGCACAATACAAGTTCTAAAATTACACAACATAAAACAACTAAATGTTATTTAAGATGAAAGTTTTGTTTCAGTTCCATTCATAGGATTTATTAGAATTTTGTATGTTTTGCCAAGTCCAATAATTCGCTCTATGTGTCATAGAGACATTGTTGACTAAACCACCAGGTGTCGAACATTCAAGAATTTTCAGTGTTTCTGTTTTTATTTGATGAAAAGGTTGCCTGAGCTCTAGGAGCTTTAGGTTTTATCACGGGATAATCTGTGCTGTCAATAATAATCCAAGTCGTAGGAAACTTTAATTTGAAGTTGGATGGTGAAAAATACCTGACTAAACCACTAGATGGCCAAGTGTTAGCCTCACACCACTGTTTAGACATAAAAACAATCCATGTATACACAATATTCAATCTAGAATCTAGACAGTTCAAAGTTGGTTGTATGATGCCTCAATTTCATCAAAGTCATAAAAAAACTGATTTTCAACTGACACCCTATCAATTTGAAAATATATGTATCTCAAACAATGTGCTGCTGGACCAAGTGTGGTCAAAACAAATAAAAATTTAGTATACAACTCTAAACCGGTATAAAAATGCCTGGCTGTGTCACGCGTCTTCATTTCAAAATTCTCTGCTGAAAACATAGGCATTGATGGTGTTTGCGTAATTCCACCTGTGAAGCTCAACATTAGCTCGGCAGTTGGTGGTGGACAGTCATTAATCCTTTCTGCAGTATGAATGACTTCTTCAGGAAAACCAACTTTACAATCAAAACTTTCCTCTAGATTTCTACTACAATATTCATCAAGTTTAGTTCCTTTGTTTTCACAGGAAACTGCCCTGATTTTTCTTTTTGCGGACGATTCAGTCTCTTGCTTGGTCCAGGAAAATAGGCTGGGAATTGCAGTAGACTTAAGTCTCTGTATGGTGGGTTTGCGCCCTGAAAAAGGTTATAAAACATTACTTTTTTTATAATTAAATGAACTTCCATTAGCAATGTATACTTTGTACTACCTGGCGAAATATTAACTAGATTTATTCATTACAATCTGGATAAAACTATGTTTGCCTGATTCAATGTATGTTATGTAAATCCAAAGGACAAACAATGAGAGACTTATGCAACAAACGTACATTGTTTGTACCTAAATAACTATAATATAGATGAGAGCATGTCATTGTTTTGTTCCTGTTAACATTGTCATTGATATTTTTCAAGAAAGTCTATGAGGCATAGCTTATGCATTCCTGTCATTACTACATTAGCATAATTACTGCTAAAATAATTCTCAGTATTGATATACCTCTTGTAAGAAATCATTATAATTGTAGCAATCACCAAAAAATCTCAAACAGATCACATTGAATCATAATCCAAAAAATTATGACGTCTTGAATTACCCACCCCCTTTTATTCTAAAACGATAATTGCGGTTGTAAACAGACTTTGGTTTATTCGCATGGCGATTACATATACAACTATATATTTCACAAAGAAAATAGAGTTTTACCATGAATAGTTTCCTGCACGTAGTCTTTTTCAGTAAAACGTGCCTTGCAAACAACAGCTGATTGAGATGGACTCCACGATATCATCGTGTTCTCGTCCAATCTGCGTATGGGCCATGGCGTTGATCCAACTTTTCCTTCTTTTTAAGTCATTTGGAAATGCATGTCCTCCTCTTAAATGACATCCAGGTACACAACAACAAGTATTTGGCATCGTTAATTAAAAATATAACTGAAATAGTTGCACAGTGCAGAAACCGGAAGAAGAGGAACAGGATCCGCTACCACGGCGCCACCTATTCAGGAACGATAATTTGCTACTTTATATAACTGCGAAAATAACGTTAGACGGGTTCACGTGCATAAACAGAAATGCGCTTTAAATTGTATAATATAATTCATGTTCAGTCGACCTTTAATTATTATACCAACGACTGAAATGATTTATAAACATCTAGATTGCAGATAACACTCGAAATTAACCCGAGCTCTTTCCACACGGAATTCAAATAATTCTAGTTTGTCAATCGGTTGACTGCTTATAATCAGGAACATATATATTGACGGGACTTGACACTACCTGATTGTAGTCGATTTTATCGTCGTGCCATAGTTAATAAAGATACGATACAGAAACGGACATGTGTTAAAAACGGACTCGCTATTATCCTAATAATTTCTGATATTATCAATAAAATGTCATTCAAACTAGTTTTATAGTGATGCTAGTGTATCAAACTTGTATTCTGTCACTTCAAATTTGTTAAAATCGCAAGCATTTCATCACAGAATTGTGCAGAATGCAAACCAGGTAATAAAAAAATGGCGGCCATTGCCGCAATGATTTTCAAATTCCCAAACTATTAAAAAAACACTTCACATCAAATAAATCAAACGTATTTTGGTAATTTTATATGACAAAATATATCTACTAAATGATAAAACTTGTATTTATTTACAATTAGAGTTATGTGGTTTATTTGTTGAGCAGTTCTGATAGTTTTTCAGTCAGACGCTACCAAAATCCGTAAATCTTGGGAAGTCTCGGGGAGTCCGAGTTTTTATCAATTTTATACTGAAAAGCGTATCAGATTCATTTCCCGTTAGATATACTGTTCCCAGTTATAATGCAAAATACTAATATATCAAAAGTTTTTAAAACTAACAAAACACAATGATCGTTTCTCTATTTCCCAATGTAAATGAAATGAAACAAAAAACATTTTATATCGCAATAAGAAGAGGAGAGAATTCAACATTTCCGGATCTACTTGGAGTCTAATGACCCCCCACGTAGATAAGTTGGATATCGCGGAAGGAAGGATTAACCCGGCAACTAGAAAGGCATTAAAGCACTGCCTTTAAAAATCATTTGCAAATGGTTTGACTCATCAGATTAGCACAAAGCATAAACATCAACTAACATAAAGACAAATGATTAAAAGTACCAATCTAAGAGTACTCACAGTTACTGATAGCTAGTATAAAGCCAGTAACAACTAATACATGTTCTACCAAAACTGAAGTATCAATCAGTACACATCCAATGGATGTAGTGTAAAGAGGTTATTAACAGTCTGAGAAAAGCACGACCTTGTACAATGCCGAAATATAAGTACAATGTACGGGATGTAGGACCATAAGTTTTCATAACTGTATAACAATACATATTCATTAGAAACAAAATTGATATTAGTACCAATTAAACATATTCAAAGATCTAACTTAGAAACAAAATTGATATTAGTACCAATTAAACATATTCAAAGATCTAACTTAGAAACAAAATTGATATTAGTACCAATTAAACATATTCAAAGATCTAACTTAGAAACACAATTGATATTAGTACCAATTAAACATATTCAAAGATCTTACTTAGAAACAAAATTGATATTAGTACCAATTAAACATATTCAAAGATCTAACTTACAAACACAATTGATATTAGTACCAATTAAACATATTCAAAGATCTAACTTAGAAACAAAATTAATATTAGTTCCAATTAAACATATTTAAAGATCTAACTTAAGTGTTTAATTGAGACCTTTTAAAAGAAAATTGTTATTTTTTAGTAAGAATTGTTATTTTTTCATGTTGAACAACCAACACTAATGCAGGATTAGTTAATGCCTTTCCTGTATATGCTGTAAAAGAATTCAACAAGGAAAGTTAAAGCACTTATTATACCCCTACCAGTATACTGGTTTCCTCTGTGAATTATTTACACATTTCTGTCACATTTTCTTAGCAACAACAAGTCCTCTATTGCTAAAAACTAAAATCTTTAAAATGTCATTATTACAAGTCATAGCTTCTAGTTATATTGCACCAAGCTTCACCTGATAATGCCTTCCATACCTTAAGAAACATTGTCTTTTCCTTTAGTTTTTGAAATCCTGTTTTGCTGAAATATTTTATACACATAAACTCCACTTTTAGACAGCAACAAGGATCAGGGTTTTAATAATAGAACAATAGTATATGTGTCACACTTTTCATATTTAATACCAATAGTATTTATTCTGTATATATAGGAGAAATAATATGTATATACCATTACAGGTGACACAAACATTGAATTGGTTAGTGAGAATGACAACAGAATTAGAGACAAATATTGTGGCTGTAGAGAGAGTGAAGGAATACACAGAAACTCCTACAGAGGTACATAGTTCTTCCTTACTCAAGTGGGGTTAAACAGTGAAAGAATTTTTCAGATCTATCCAGCAGTCACTTTCTATTTGACAATATTTTGAATAATTGTTATATCCTCTGAAACACTTTTACAACCCTATCAAATTACTAAAAGAAGCATTCATTTCTTATAATTACATTGTTATGCTAAGACCATGAAAAAAAAGTTTTATCAAGTTTTTCTTTTATTTTTCCTGTGCACTTTTTTGTGGAAGCACGTGTCATCACGAATGTAACATTTCATTTTGATATAAAGGTTAATTTTTGCATGATTGTTGTTAGCCAATCAAACTAATGGATTCTCGTGAAACATATATGGAATGTAATTTTTAAGGTATACATTATTATTTTTATAGATATCATTGAAGAAAATTTGCTATGAATTTAGGCTATTTTCTTCTGTATATAAGTATTAGTGTCATAGGTAAGTCTAATTCTCCACATTTTTATGGGAATGTTGGTAATTTGTTTCAGGCTGCTTGGGAGATAGAGGATAAGAAGCCAGCTTTATCCTGGCCTGATAAGGGAAGTGTAGAGTTCAATGACTATGGTGTCAGATATAGAGAAGGTCTGGACCTGGTCCTGAAAGGAATATCCTGTAAAATAGACCCGACTGAAAAGGCAAGTATTTAAAAATGGATGCAGTACAAAATATTGCTGACAGAGGATTCATTCTATGTCTTATCCTATTTTGGGTCTCCCATTGTAAAACATTGACTTTACCATATCAATTAAAGGGGAAGCCATCTTGTGTCCACAACCCTCATTCAATCAATCAGTGAATTGTTCAAAGAATCTTTCTTTCATTATACCTTTGTCCATCTGCTCTTGTATGTTTAACTCCAATTAATTTTAGGGGTTTTATGCAGCAAACATTGACTTTGCCTCTGTATACAAAAAGAGGAGCAACAGTAATGAAATTTTGAGCCTTTATCACAGTTTATGGTTCAATATACAACATCACGTTTTTTAATGAAAGGAGATATTTGAGTATACACCAAAGAGACAGATACCCAACAACAAAAAGAACTAAAAGACATACAGAAGGCAACTTTCGGTCTTCCACAATGGACAGGAATCAATACAATTATACTATATCATATGCCAAACTTTAAATTATCCATGGTCTATGAAAATTGTCAATAAGATTTAATACAAAACATTCAAAGACCTGCCATTGACACCCAATTGTCAACTGTATAAACATTGTATTTTCATGGATATTTGATTTCTTGGTTTTTGCCAAAGTCTGTATACAAACCTATAGTAAATATTTACTTCATTGATATTCAGATATGACATGACAATTAAAGATGATGTTGCGAATTTTTTTACTCTTTATTTTTACAGATTGGAATAGTTGGGCGGACAGGTGCTGGTAAATCCTCACTTACATTGGCCCTGTTCAGAATTCTGGAGAAATCTCAGGGTAATATCATCATAGATGGTATAGACATATCAACCATAGGTCTTCATGACCTAAGGGCAAAGATCACCATTATACCTCAGGTGAGTGTCAGAAGTCACAGGTCACTAGCATATATAGGATAATAATTATTGGATTATTTTTATAATAGAACTCCATGATATAAAAATATTATTATTATACTTTATAAGGGATCAAAGGTTATTATAATAATTTGTTCAAAGTCAAATGTCCATATTAGTGGTAAAAAAAATCATCATTATTACACAAATCAGTAAGATGAGATCACTATTCCTGTGTTTAATCATTTGTTAATATTTATACTCTCTTTTTCAGGATCCAGTGTTATTTTCTGGAAGTTTGAGGATGAACATAGATCCATTTAGTTCCTACACAGATGATGACCTATGGAAAGCTCTGGAGCATGCTCATTTAAAAACATTTGTCAGTAATCTGCCTGAGGGGCTACAGCATGAATGTAGTGAAGGAGGAGAAAACCTTAGGTAAAATATAATGTCAGTTACCTGTTTAGGGGTTAGGCGGCAGCTTCATTTCAGTGACAGAGGGAATTAACCTCCGGTAAGGTTGTTGGAATCTTGGCTGGATTGGGGAGGAGTGCAACATGATTGCAGTTACAAAGGATAAAACTTAACAAAGAGTTATGGGTTTATCTCAGGGGGTATCAACTTGATATGAGTAAAGGAGGATAAAACCTCAAATAATTTTGGTTGGTAAGCTGTCAGAGGGGGCAAAATGAATGCAATGTTGTTCAATGACTGGTGGTTGGTGTTGGCTTTAATTCAGTGATGGAGGAGAAATGCTTCAGATAAGAGGTTTGACTGTTACAAGGCAGATGGGCTGTTTGATAGTTAGGAAGATGGGAAATCCCCTGGTAAGGTTATTGCAGTAAACCTTACAGAGGTCACAGCACAGAGGTATGAGAAATGCCTCGTGTAAGATATTTATAAAAAGGCAGAGAGTTGTCAGTTTGATAGTTTGGAAAATGGATAACACCCCAGTTATGGTTATTGCATTTAACCTCTCAGAGGTGGCAGCATGAGTGATGTAAGCTTTCTTGGATGAATTGTTTTAGATAAAGATAAGCTACAAGTCAAATTATTGTATGTAGTAAAAGTCTAATCTTATTGGTTCTGTGTCTACGTATGACTTCAAACATAAAAAGAATGGGCTGTAGATTTACTTCAAACACATTCAGTTGTCTATCCATAGTATTACAATGGACCACAAACCATGCAGGTTCTCAAGAGTTTACAGTTTAATCAGATTGATTATTGATTCAATTTTATTTCAGTGTTGGTCAGAGACAGTTAGTTTGTCTAGCCAGAGCCTTGTTGAGGAAAACCAAAATACTAGTTCTAGATGAGGCTACGGCAGCTGTTGATTTGGAGACAGATGACCTAATACAGAACACCATAAGGACAGAGTTCTCTGATTGTACTATATTAACTATAGCGCATAGACTTAATACAATAATGGATTATACACGGTAAGAACAGGAACCAGTATGGCTAGGGTCTAATTTAGCCTGGTTATATAAATAATGGGAAATGTGGAGTACCAGTACATTGATGAGACAGTAATCCTGTGGATTGCAAAATTATGTTGACCTGCAAAAAAATAATTAAAATGTCAATTGTGGTGACAGAAATAGAAAAATGTAAAATAGAATGCTACACAAAACAAAATGACATCTAGAAGTCAACAAATGATCTGGACAGAATTTTCTCTGCAAATAACAAATAGTATGATACCTTTTGAAATTTCTATATGTGACATATTTTAAGTTGCCTAAGAAGGGTAAATAGGCAGGTTTGGTGTAGATACTATGAACCATATCAAGAGAGTATAGGGACTTTAATCAATTCATTAAGATTGAGTGCCAAGCATATGTAACATGTCCTTGACTAAGGTTCAATTATTATCAAGTAGATCCTTGGTACAAACTTTGTTCACTAGAATCTGACATTTTTTTATATATCCTGTTATAGAGACCTTTTAGAGATTATTAAGAGTAAGACATTTGATTGGTTAACAATATTTAGCTGGACTAATGTAGAACAGAGCATTGTCAGATCGTTGTAAGGGAGGTGTGGACACAGGATCAGTACTTTAAATCTTAATCTACTTTCAGGGTAATGGTATTAGATGCTGGTGTCATCAAAGAATTTGACTCACCAAATAACTTACTGAAAGATACAAACAGTTTATTCTTTGGTATGGCTAAGAATGCCGGACTTGTGGCTTGATAGAATATGATGCAAGACCAGTGAAGGTTTAGCTTGAATGTTGAATGTCTATCATGAAGAAAAAGAGAATGATCAACCAACTTGAATTTATACTTTAGAATGCCTATGAAATACTGTAGAATCAGTATTGAGGTTCATGAAGGGTGAACGGTGTGTTGGTGAACTTAAAATTGTGAAAACATCTTGGAGTTTTTATATGTTCCTGTCGTGGAAATAGCCTCCAAATTTTTGAAAAGTCAAATATCATTGTAAACACTTTAATGTCAATTGTTATGCCACATGTAATAAAGCAGAAAAATTGTAGTTCCAAGTTAGAGTTATTTTTCTTGCATTAACCTTTGTTAAAGTGCTGGAAACATCTTGGTATTTTTGTTGTATAAAGAGTTGGAACCTCAATTATCCATAATGTTTTGAAATCCCCTTTTTATTATTGATAATGTTCTCTATTCTACAAAGTAATTTGAAGTTATCACCTATCATAACAAATATAGATATCCAGTATCACAGGAATAAAGAGCTCTAATATCCTATATCTTACAATATATGCAGGAGTAAAGGAAGAACTACTTACGGCTATTCCTTTTAAAATGAATGAGGGAGAGTCGAAAGGGACTTTCAAAACCCCCACAACAAATACTTTTGTAGTAATTTTGTATACATCAATAGACATACTATCATAAATGACAAATTATCCGAGTCCAAAAATAAAACTTTCCTTTCTACCCTCCCACCTTTACTGTAATGGAATAGCCCCTAATAAGGATCTGTAGTTCATAAACTTTTATTATCTAGTCTGTTATTTTGAATGAATTCCAATTGTCTGCATGAGAGGGGCCTTATCTACTGTGAACTGATTTAGATTGTTAAGAATAAAAGTCTTTTGTTGATCTGCATGAGAGGGGCCTTTTACGCTGTAAATTCTTTTGGATTGTTAAGAATAAAAGTCATTTGTTGATATGCATGAGAAGGGCCTTTTATGCTGTGAATTGATTTAGATATTTATGAATTAAAGTCATGTTTTGATCTGCATGAGAGGGGCCTTATATACCCTGAATCGATTTGGATTGTTAAGAATAAAAGTCATGTTGTTGTACTTATGTTTGTAAATTTGTTAGTTGTTATGTTTATATATAATGTGTTTATTGCAATTTTGAAATAATTATTTCAACCATTACATATTTAGCTTTGTGTTGACCTTAAAATCTAATTTGAATTAAGTAGTACACAAGTGCTTTAGTTCTGAGGAACTTGTTGGTTGTAGCATAGATGTAATCAATGACCTGGCCCAATTTGAGGCAAAGAAATTAAGAACATTTATTAGACCCTATTGTTGTACTGAGTAGAACTGAAAATTAATTTGAAGAATTTTTTTCTCCAAAAATGGTTTTTAAATGTATCAGAGGGGGAATTACTTAAGTTTAACAGGTTTAAATGCTTGCAATATGAAGACATACTTCAAAAGAGATAACTAATTATTTGACAGCAAATTTTGAACATTTGAATTTTGTGTGTTAATTTTATATGAATGTTATAATTTTTCGATTCTTAGTACTTGGAGATGTACTTTAGTATGAACTATAATAAGAGATTAAAGTTGTTAAAATCTTGACATTCTGTTTTGCCATGGTTTGTTATTTTAAAATTGATACATATCGATTTGAACTGCACTTGTTTGAAAAGTTTTATGGCTTGTACAAATTGTCAAATAAAGGTAATCATGTTTCATATTGAAATGATGGAAAGGTGTTACTTTAATTGAATAATTTTTATTTGTTTAAATGTCATTTGAAGTCTGAGTAATTTGTTTAAATGTCATTTGAAGTCTGGATAATTTGTTCATATGTCATTTGAAGTTTAAATTACCTAGCTATATATCGTTAAAAAGTATAGGGTCCCATAATTGCCTCATCTTGCCTGACTTTTCAGAGAAATTGGAATTTTTAATTCAAGATTTCCATTAATGTATATTTTAAAGTTGACAATGCAAAAATAAAAACACATCAATTATATTAATACAGCATCCCCATGATTTTCTAATACTTCAGTTTTAAGGCAAAGATTCAGGGCCTTAGTTTATGTGTTTTAATGTTCATACGGGTAAATTTGAGTTGTAGGCAAGTTATTGTATTACTCTGTCTTTGGGTGATGGTGTATTAGTGAGTATAGTTTCAAATGAATGTAAGTTAAACAATATATTAGAATTGAGATATGAAATATATCAAATTTTTAGAAAAAGTAAAAAACTTATTTGCCTATTCTCGTTTGGTTTTGTTTGTATTGATTCTCTAGCTATGAGTAATTAAAAGAAAATAGTCATTATTTTTAGAATTTTTAGATTATCTTGAACAGTCTTCAGTAGTTTTATAGTTTGTATATGTAAATAATCCTGCATATCTTTCATTTTTTTTTGTCTGTGTATCGCTAGTTATGTAAGAATTCTCATTCAATTAATTATAAAAGACGGAAGCAAAAGTAATGGCAGTTTTATTTTCTGTTTTCTTGGATTTGTTTCAAATTTCAACTTCCTTGAATGTACAGTTACAACTTGAAACACTTTCATTTTACATTGTACAAATTGAAGGCCAGATCCATTGATCTGGTAACAACCTTACATGTAAATAGTTCATTGATTTTAGTTATTTTAAAAGATTTAAGAAAGTAACAGCGGTTAATATCTTAATTCCGTAGCATTCTAGGTAATGTTTAAAAAAATAACCTACACCAAAATGTTTTCATTTGCTACAAACATCCTAAAGAGTGTGATCCCATTTTCATAATTTTGGTAAGAACAATAAAAGACTGTTTTCAATTTTCTTAAAGCAAAGTTTACCTTAGATGGAATGTGACTGTTCTGTTCAGGCTGACATGTATGATCAGTTCTTTACTGGTGTTCAGGATTCAATCTTTAGCTATTAGCATCCCTGTTTAAGGTTAACACAGCAAATGATTTTGAAAAAATATCAACCTTTGACAGTTTCAATTTTAATGCTGTTAAAATGTTGTTTTCATAAAGCACTTTAACTGTCATGAATTAGCTTTTTCATAAAATTTTGACAAAACATTTACTTTGACCCTATGACAAAAATATAAATATTTTTAAAAATTTGAACCACACACTTTATCGGATAAATTTCTTTGGATATATATAGCAGTTTGACAAACACTGATTTTGATCATTGATAAGCTTAATATTTCCTTAACAATAGAACGTGATTAAAACATTCAGCTGATTTTTACAGAGTTATCTCCCTGTAGTGTTATGTACCACCTTAAGATATCATTGATCAGTAATTAGATAATTAATATTAAATGTTATTTTTATATGCAGTCAAGACATGAACATGATATATATTTTTAAGCATCAATTTGATCTTATTACATTTACTTGTTTTGCTGTTTGAATATGTTCAGGTATAATATTTTAATTTCAATATCTTTACATTGAGTTGTCAGGTTGCTGTTCTGAGTTTTGGTTGGATTCAGTTTTGATTAATGAGTTGCTGAATTGCACATGTTAAAGATAAATGTATTTTTGATTTTCAATTTGTTTTTTTGGCATGTCAAGTTCACTTTTTTTATTTTTTGTGATTTTATGATATTTTTGATGAATAAACATTTATTATCCACATGTTTTTATGATACTGTAGCTGCTGTTATTGTTACTGGGGTACTCATTTAATAAAAAAATCATGGTTAAGGACGAACCACAAATTTAAGTGTTCAAAGAAATGCATAGCGAGAAAATTTGTCAAAACTATGAATTGATAAGTACCCTCCAAAGTTCTACTAAAATTGATACCCAAGAAAATATCAGATCCACAGTGTAATTAAGTATTCTTGTCAATTATATTGTTTATCAGTTTTTTACTGCTTTTAATTCCCCACTACTCATAATTTTTTTGGTACATTAAAGATTTATTGAAATATGGAAATCTGTATATAAGTTTTGCTAGTTGTTTCTCATGTCCAGAGAAATAGCTCTGGTCAATATTTTACCAAAATGAGAATATTACATTTGTTTTTAATTTAATTTATAAATGTGTAGAGTGTTAGTTCATCTTTACTTTAATGCCGTCATATTGCTCATTTATGAGTTTAATAGTTATGAATGTTTGTATTTCATCATTGACATATTGTTATCAGGAATAACTGGGTTATGATGGATGCTTTGTATGATGCCATCTTTACTAATAAAAAAATTCTTTGTTTTCGCTCATCTTTTCATAGAAATAGAAAGAAATGGGAGAAAATGTCAAGGGGGTATTAAAAACCAGGCCAAAGAAAAACAGACAAAACCATGACCAAATATGAAATATGAACAGTTAACACTAGTCATCAATGCAAACTCTACACAAAAATCTTAGGATTTAGCAGCACAAATCTCACAAAAAAGGCTTGCAGTCAGATGCTCTTGAAGGGTAAGCATTGTCTGTTCCACTTTGTTACTGCCCTAAAATATATTAATCTCTCACAACCAGTGGTCAATCATTATACAGAAGTGGATTGATAAATTTTACCTTTCATAACTGAAGCATATGGAAGCCAATAATATATGATGATCAAATCATTTCACAGACCAGTAAGATTTTAATACTTTATAGTTGAAAATAATTTCGCTAGCACAGTCCAACAACATAATATTCATGGTAATGACCTGTTTAGATGTCAATTAATAAGAGGCTAACTGGTGATAAGGTGTTTCTTACAAGTGCTTTAATATGCAATTATGTCAATGGCCTCGGTGGCAAAGCGGCCTTATTACAAAGAGAAAAACAACTTTATCTACAGGGATCACTATAAAAGTATCGAGATGTGGAGCAACCGAATGGCACATATATTATAGAGACATCTAGAGGTCATAAAGTTTTGTGACTTGTGGCTTGATAAAAAATGATTCAAGACCAATTGAAGTGTTGAACGCCTATCATTGTACCGACTTGAATGTATATTATAGACTGCCTTTGAAATAATTCAGAATCAATAATGAGTGCCCTGAATGGCAAGAGGTATGAAAAAATCTGATGAGAGTTTTAATGTGTTCTTGTCCTGCAAATTCCTTATATATTTTTGAAAATCAATATCTTCAAAGATACTTAAAAGTCTATTGTTAAGCCACTTTTTAAAGCAGAAACATTGTATTTTAAGATGGAGTTATTTCGCTTGCATTAATTTTTGTCTCGCCTGCCACGAAAGTCACAGTATGCAAGACAGGTATTACTAACTTGCGGTGGCGGCGTAAACTATTTATATAAAGCCTTATATTTCAGAAGGTAGAAGACCTGGATCCTCATATCTTGTATGCAGATACCGTATGTTACGAAGTTTCAGTCAATTATATCCATTGTTCTTTACTTTATTTTCATGGTTCAGTGACTGCCTGAAAAAAAATTGAATTTTCTTGTCATGTGAATTTCTCACTTATAAGGAGTAAAAGGATAACTATATTTGGTATATGCGTTCCTTGCAAGGTAAACATGTCCGTCAAACAAAGTTCACCTGACCTCGACCTCATTTCATGATCAGTGATCAAGGTTAAAGTTACGTGATAAGGTCCGTTTCTCAAATACCAGAAGCAGTAGGTCAAATTTATTTGGTGTATGGACTGATTGTAATGGGTACATGTCAGTCTGGCAGGTTTCATCGGACCTTGACCTAATTTTCATGGTTCTTTGTTCAATGTTAAGTTTTTGGGTTTTGGTCTGTTTTTCAAGTACTATTCGCTATAGGTCAACTATATTTGGTGTATGGAATGATTGTAAGGTGTACAAGTCTGTCTGGCAGGTATCATCTGACCTTCACCTCATTTTCATGGTTCATTGGTCAATGTTAAGTTTTTGTGTTTTGGTCTGTTTTTCAGTTAGCATACACAATAGGTCAACTACATTTGGTGTATAATAAATTGTAAGGTGTATATGTCTGTCTGACACAACTTATCTGACTTTGACCTCATTGTCATAAAAAAAAATTAAATGTTAGGTTTCTGTAATGCTTTTGAAGACCCATTGGTGGCCTTCGGTTGTTGTCTGCTCTATGGTCGGGTTGTTGTCTCTTTGACACATTCCCCATTTCCATTCTCAATTTTATTTTAGTAAAACCTTTATCTTTAAGACTTTCAACATATAACCAATGGCCAGTAAAGCAGGCGAGACATTTCAGCATATGCACTCTTGTTGTAAGAGTGCTAGAAACATCCTGTCATCGTTGTTTCAAAGAGTTGAACCTTTATAATACTCTATATCCTACAAAATAATTGGAAGTTATCACCTATCCTTAACGTATTGATGTCTAGTATCACAGCAATAAAGGACTCAAATATCCCATATCTCAATATATTATACACAGCAGTAAAGCAAAATTCCCGAGGGCTATTCCATTACTGTGCTTATTCAGTAGGCTTTGGGGGTATCACAATAGCAATGGCTCAAACAGTTTACCAAATTGCAGTTTGAATTCTTCTCCCACAAAATGATCAACTGGTAAAATATTTTAACAAATTGCTTCAATGAAATGTTGTCAGTATGCAGTGGGTGCAGTGAAATAAAAAGCAGTACTTACCATCCAGCCTCAGTTAGTTGTTGTCTATGACATGAAATTCATACACAAAATAATGACTTACTATAAAATGAGTCACTGGTTTAAAAAAGTATAACTTTGACATGAAAACGTGTATCCTAAATAAAATTTATAAATAATTAGTTCAAAACAGCGTTTTTTATGTCAAAAATTTATAGTTTTGTTTTCTAAGAGGAAGTAATTGTGTAATTGTGATTTGGATATTTTTTTCTTAAGCAATTACTAATCTTCTAATATTAAGGTGAAATTTTTTATTCAGTCATTGTATATTACAAATTTAATCAGATACCATGCCTACCATTTTTCATACAAAAGATTTATTAATACGACTCGAATCAAAATAATTGAAATGCCAAGTTAGTATCAAGTTGAAGAGCATTGTGGAAACAAAATTCCGAAAGGAATACTGCTTACATAAGTAATCTAATTATCGATGAAAGAAAATCATTAGTATTTTGAACAATTCAACGTTTTGCAAAACAGTTAATCTATAGTTTTGATCATATCAATGAAAATTCATGTCAACACGGAATTGCTGACTACTGAGCTGGTGATATCCTCTTAATTTACAGAGGAATCTGTATGATTTATAGAGCTTTGAATGTGTCCCAAACTATGTCGTTAACCGTTTTTTTTTCAAAATTTTAATCAGCTTAAAAATAAATTTCAGTGTTCTTTTCAGAATAGAGGATAATAGTTTAATGATCATGGAAATAATGTTACAAACAAATTACTTATAAAATAAAGGAAGTTGATAGTTGACAGATCAAAATTTTGCTGATTTTACAGTAATGTAAATTATTCCCCTTTAATATTAGCAGATTAGTAATTGCTTTAGAAAAAAATATCCAAATTACAATTACGCATTAACTAGCTATTAGAAAACAAAGCTATACATTATTTACCATCTTCGCTAGCCAAGGGTCACGATCCACTTTCCTCCTCTCCACCCTTGGCAGATTAAGCTAACATTTGTGATAACAATGTTGCTTCATCTATCGGAAGATTAAATTCACGCCCATTCCGAATAGATTATTCTTGACCACTGGTAGCACTTGAACTCTTCAATTTGGAGGTAAAAACACTAGATTCTACACACTTGGTAAAGCAGGAAACGAAAATATACGTTGACATTCATGCATTTGTGCAAGAAACATACACAGGAACTTCTATTAATTGATTAAAAACATTCAAATTGTCACTAAATATAGTCGTATGTTTAGGGATGTAAAGACTTGTTGTACAATAAGCACGTGGCAATTGTTTACATACACTTTCTACATTTACACGTGGAGGTAAAAACACTAGATTCTACACGCATCGTTTGGAGGTCGGTTCAATCCCATTTTTCTATGATTCAATATGGATTCAAAATTAGATTGGTGTAACTATATAGTAAACAAGGATACGTCTACACAATGAACTCAGAATGGAAACTTTTGTCTTGATCATAAAAAACGCAGGTGAAAAAACTGTCAAAATAGGTGCAAATTGGGTGCCCTCACGTTTTTTTCCATAGACGACAAGAACCACCACACAGAAATACAGGCTATCGACCAGGGGCTGGTACATACATTATATGGTGGGTTTAAGAATGTTCTTTAATCCTCCACCAACCTGGCCATGGGCCTGTGGTGTACCAGCACAATATAAGAACGAATTGAAAACATCGGTGGAAAAGGGACTGACTCATCAGATCAATACCATTCACAAAGAACTAGTAAAAACAATAGAGACACAAAGTACCGATCAGAGAGTACTCGCAGTTACTGGAAGCTAGTTCCTAGCCAAAACAACACTTCTACATATTATTAAAGGTAAAGTAGCCAAGACAATATATAAATCAGTACACGTCTAATGGATTTAGTGCAAAGACGTCATAAACAGTCTTGAAAAAAATTACCTTGTACAATGCCAAAATATATGTATCGTCAGGATGTAGAACCGTAATCATGCATAACTATAAAGCGATAAAACTAATGCTAATACCGATGGCAACAATATTCATATATGATTTTGGAATGTTAAATTCATCCCCTATGAGAATAGGTTTATTCAAAGGATAGATAAGCTTACATGAATCTTATCTAGATTTATGGGCTACAAAACAACATTACCCGAAAAATTAAGATGTGATATCGGTTAGTAATAAGATAATCTTGTTCGGTTTCATAAGGGATGTTTAATACAATATTCTTGCAAGATAATATGTTTATATTATAGGTCTTAATCAGGTACCAAAACCTCGCAATAAATATCTTAGAAAAGATGAGAAGCGAAGTTTATAGAGGACAATTCTTGTCAAAATTGAAGAAAAAAATAATTATCTGTGTATATTAAACAAAAAAGAATACATAGATATAGGAAGATGTGGTATGAGTGCCAATGAGACAACTCTCCATCCAAGTTACAATTTATACAAGTAAACCATTATAGGTCAAGGTACGGCCTTCAACACGGAGCATTGGCTCACACCGAACAGCAAGCTATAAAGGGCCCCAGAAAAATTACTAGTGTAAAACCATTCAAACGGGAAAACCAACAGTCTAATCTATCAATATTAAAAGAAAGAAACAGTGACAAACAACTACAGGAAAGAACTTACCAATCAAAGATACATGTGAGTAATCACCAACAA